AATGGAGGTTCTAGCTGGGAAAATCATCTATAAATGGGCCATTTTCCATGGCTATGCTGGATTTGAATTAACCGTAATTAATCATATATTAACTTATTAACCATAATTAATCTGTTTGGAGGTACGTGGGCTCCGCTGTGATCCTGTTTTGAGGTCTTTATGGGTCAAGCTGGGTCTGGTAAAAACACCATCGCCAAGTAGCCCTCAGACGCGTAGGACATGCGCCCAGATCGGCGCAAGTTGTCACCTTGGTCATGATGGGCCATGGGTCAATCAAAAACCTGTCCTGAGTAAAAAAAAACAACTCAAGTTTTACTAGGTACAATCCTCATGTTCTGTTGAAGCACATCTTAACATGCAAATCCTTAGTTGTTTAGGATCCTTGCGGAATTGACATTTCTTCAAAACATGTTCGTCAATATGAGCATCCCTATATCACAAACGTGTATACCTGATGAAACCCTCGGGTAATCAAACATGACGATTGAACATCACCCATTTCCCTTTAATAGTACCTGCATTTATCATTGCCAATCTTAGATAGCCTTTTTTTGTTTAAGTGGTTAGTGGATATTCCTATTGAAATCGCAAAAAAGTAGAGGATTCTTTCATATCCTATCCAGTTGGTTGACCTAGATACCTAGTATGGGTTCTCCCAGCTAGCCATGTGTGATTACCCAATGGTACCCTCTGATAAACTAATATAACTATGGAAAATCACAATTTTTCATGGGAAAACTCACTATAAATGGCCATTTTCAATAGCTATGTTATTAAATTAAAATTGCCAGAGGGTAAATGTGAAGAGAAATGCCATCCGATATCTCCGATATCCAGCGACAGCAACAACCCATCGTGTGTTGGACAGCGTCTGGGAGAGATCTATTGTGGTTGCGATGATGATAGTAGCGTTGGAAAATGCTGATTTTTAGCATGATTTAGCTAGATAATGCTGGATATCCAAAAATGCTGGTTTCACAAAAATGAAGCATTTTTAAATGGGTCTCCAGTTTGGTACACCATTCACATCCCCTCGCTGTTCAATTGAGCAGCGCTCAAGACCCTCGGTCGTTCCTTTAAACTTGTTGATTAACATAATCTCCCAAAATGGATTGTGATAATCCTAAAAGAAATGCTGGTTGGTGGTTTCAACCCCTCTGAAAAATATGAAGGTCAGTTGGGATGATTATTCCCAATATATGGAAAATAAAAAATGTTCCAAACCACCAACCAGCAAACTTTAATAACATGTGCATAACTGATTATGATGGATTGATAATTTATAATAAAACCCTAGAGAAAAATATTGGATTGAACCAAAATAATGGATTTATTTTGGGATTTATCATGGATTTATCCCTAATCATTAATGGGCATTACAATGGGTTATGACGGATTAATGATTATAATAAAACCTAATGAGCAAATCATCAACCAACAGGGGTGTCGAAAGCCACTGCTCAACCAATAGGACTTTGGACTATGGGATCACCACCTCTCGGGGCGGCTGAAAAAGGGAAAAACCAAGGCAGGCAACATTGCTATACAACCCATATATGGAGGTTTCCTGAAAATGGGGATACCCTAAATGGATGGAAAATCCAATAAAAATGAATGATAACTAGGGGGTACCCCTAAGGAACGGGAAACCGCTTTTTCTGGATCCAAATAAGACCTGAGAAGCTATTTCACCTGCAGAATCAGCCCCCAGTCATACTTCAAAAAAGACGCTACGGCTGGATGCATAGGAACGGAAACATATCAAAAATACCCAAGTATACTTGCGAGGGGAAAGTCCTCTCTCGCATATCTTTTCCCGGCAAATCTGATTGCTTTGGTCTTGGAAAATGAAAGTCCCCTAGTGTTAGACACGACACCAGTTGTTTCAAAGAAAATAACTGCAGTTTAGGCATGGATCAGACTTGGGCAAAACATGACAAAACAATTATGATTAGTATTAATTAGTGCTGAAAAAGACTGAAAGAGGGACTGGTTGCTGGTTTCAACCCATAATTAACCCATACTCATACCATCCCAAAATATTCTTCACATGTTGAATCTTTGATACCTACCAAAAAAAAATGCCGGTGAATGGACTAATTTTACCGTTGATAACCAAAAAAAAGTTGTACTAGTTCGACACACACGCGCACACACACGCACGCACACACACACAAAAAAACATCATATCAAGTCCAATATAGCTTCCAACCCTCAAACTCAGAACTCAAAGTGTGGGTGATTTCAGGAAGAGACAGAAGTCATCTATCAAGCCCATGAAGTCTCCTTCCAGAATCACGAGGGAAAAAACCACATCCTTGGGGTGATGAAAAAAGGTAAAACTCGTGGTGAAAGCGAGCCAAGGCAAAAAAACACGTGGATGAGCCAGCGGCAATGTAGAATGTCTGGTTGGTTTTGAAATAATTTTGTGGTACTGGTCATCTTGTTCAAGACGTTGACGTATGCAATCCTCTAAACCGCGCTTGCTGGAACGGATTGGCGTCCAGGGCGCAGGCCAGTGTGTACACACAAAGTCCAGTATTTCCTCCGTGCCATACACGGCTGGTGGAACTGCCAAATCTCGTTGATCAAGTTCTTGTTGCCACAGAATCGCCATCAAAGCTTCAGGGTTTGGATCCGCCATCGGCGAGGCGTTCCAATTCGGCGTATCCACGACGCCGAATTGGTGCCCTATGTTTTTTCACGTCAAGTTGCGTAGAAACGTATTCAGAATATTCACATTTGTGAACAAGGCTCGCTCCATAGTTGCCATAGTTCATATCTAACCAGTCGGTTGACCCAGTTCAATGTGGATCATCCCAAATATCATAGGGATTCAGCCAATCCAACAGGTGACCAATGATGGTTTCTCAACGTCCTTAATATTCCTTATAATTATTCATGGTCCGACTGGTGGTTCATAACCCCAAAAAATCGAGTTGGTTGAATGCATGAAATAAGGTCACAAATACCCGTGACTGGTAAACATACAAAAAACTGTGGAAAATCATCATTTTCAATGGGTAAATCAACTATAAATTACAATTTTCAATAGCTATGTTAAATTACCAGAGGGTACACACTCTTTGAAGCCAGCCATTCATGACTGGTGCATTGGTTGATGATGCGTTGCGCTTCCAAACCTTGCCCAGATATGCGTCTGAAAATAGCTGCTAAATCTACCGGTTAGTCAAAAAATCAAACGAAAACCCATAACATCAGCGGGAAAAAAAACATGATGTTCAGAAACATATCCGTATGTATTGCTATATACGGATGTGGCAGATACAACTTACCAATACATATACTGTGCCAATAGAATAATACAATCAAGTGGCCCTCTTCCTCTCTGACATCGGACTTGCGCGTGGCGCGACGGACATCTCCTGCCAAGCTCAAGGTTACAGCGGATACAGGGGGTGCTACGTCTGCAGTAGCTGCGTGATTTCTGATGCTCCAAAAAGTTAAACTCTGGATGGAATATACAATATGAATATGTGGTATATAAGGTATATATAAATATAAACTCATCTAAAGCCTCAGAGACAAAAACTCTCCAGGGTATTGCCAAATCATCCTGTGTATGTGGCGACCCAGTCAGCTTTTTTTTGTTTTTGACATCCTTTTTCCATCCGTTCGAAACAAAAACATACCATGAACATTCATAAACCATAGCCCACCCACTTGGGGGTGCGGGCCCCACTTGGGACATGGTTTATACCCTCCACTTCTATGTGGATTTCCCCCTTGTATATATAGGATTAATTAGGATTATATATGGGATTTATAATGGATTATAAATCACGGATCCGATTCGTGGGCTGCACATCCAAGCATGATAAACTATGGTGCATATTCCGATTAATCTAATGTTTGATTTCACATTCCCGCTCCAGCTCAAAGGTACGTGTCTCCCTCAAAAAAAATGGGTTTTCCCTGGAAAGTCAAAGGCCCTTACTAGCAGGGCTGTTGAGAACCGCCCTTCCAGGTATCTAACGGCCTGTCCAGGAATCAGCTATATGTTTCTTTGCGTCAGCCAGTGAATCCTGCCTTGTTTTCAGGGGCCGGTGCTGTGCTCGCTGCAGTTGTGAGCAAATTTTGCTCCAGGATGATGGGAAAAACGGGTTGAAGAGGTGATCCAGTGGCACAATTGCATTTTTTGAGCATCATTCATCCCTTTTCCCATCGGGTCTTGCCATGCCAGGGACTACACACAAAGAAAACATGCTAAGATCGCCATCTGCAGGTCGCAGCACAATAGATCATTTCACAGCTGGTTCTTTGAGTTTCAAACACTCCGCCATGGCTTTGCGCAATGCCCATCAAAAAACATGGGTTCTTCAAGCACAATGTCGGAAGATCACGTTTGAACCTGAGATGTTTGTTTGGCACCAACTCAACAAACAACCATTCAAACTTGTGACCGTTGCTTGGGGATGATAAATGTGATGGAGGCTTTCCACATATCCCAAACAAATTTGGCCAAGGCTATCGTGCTGCCAACGCTGTCCCAGGTGCCTTGCCCCCTTTCCTGCCCTGCTTTGCAGACGTCCAGGTAGGGTAGGCTATTTTGGTGAATCCTGCATGCATATTCTATTCCTCGGTGGTTGGTGTTGACGCTTGCACCAGCATGTATTTGCTCACTTATATATGCGTTGATTTTTCCCCAGAAGGAAACATATCCATTCATGTTTTTTGGCCCATTCCAGACAGCTTTGGTGGATTAGGGGTTTCCACTATTGCTGTGTTCGCGGGGCTGGCACTGCATCATGCCAACAGCGCTGCGGGCTTCAAAGCTCAGTCTCCTGGAGGACAGACTTTGCTCTGAACATGGTGGGTTGGGACTCCAAAAGAGGAAAGGCTTTTGGCAGTCCAGATATACAAAATAATATTATTTGGAAGATAGTTTCAAAGATCATCAATTTGTTACTCCACCCTGTGCTCCTCAATATTCCAGCTGGTAGGATTTCTACAAAGAGGCCCTGGAGGATGAGCTCTACATGGAAAAAAGATGGTATGACCTTGCCAAAGCACAGGCTTTACCAAAGGAGAAAATCTCCAAAAGACTGAAGGCAAACCAGGCCATGTGCCATGTGAGATTCGATTCACATGCATGTGTTATTTTCTGACCCCAAACGCATGCAACGTATGAAATCTCAGGGGGACATCCCAACATTTCTGACCAGGCTCCGTGTTCTTTCAGCTTCGTGAATGTGGGCAACCGGAACACCGGGATAACTACTGAATGTGTGGACCTTCCCTGTTTAAGTTCATGTCCCAAGGTAGGTGTTGTTCAATCAAGCCCCTGTGCCAGTTAGAAGATGACACCAACTATGAGTTCTACCTGGAGTGGCTCCCGCTGTTCTGTGCGGACTTGCCGTACATTTCGGAAATCAAGGCCATTTGGGTCATCAGAATTCAAAACACACTAGGCACTGGAGGATCACGCGATATAATATATGTTGAAGCGCGCGAACACACACACGTACACACACACACACGCATGTGCACATGTGCAGGCATGCATTCAAATACTACGATTACTTGTGTTATGTTTGTGCGTTCTGACGAGGACGTTCTGATGAAGCTGCACGATGAATGTGGCCCCTTATGCCGGGCAAAGACCAAGCTTGAAGTTGAGGACATCATGACACATACCATGCCGAAAACATTGCAACCGTTAGATGGCCATGATGCAGGAGTGGGCATCGGTGGAGGCGCAAGACCAACGGAACATTTGTTCCGCAATCATCTACCTAGCGAGACGCAATGAACATGCCAGGCCTGTTTCGATATCGAATGTGCAATCAAGCTCAGTAGGTCCCGTGTGGTAGAGTCAACTACACGTGCAGCGCATGATATATAATTTAATACCACAATAATATACATTCATGCGAGGCGTGGCCACCAGAAGCTCGAGGACTTGAAGTTCATCGTGCGTCAATTGCGTGGCCATATGTGGGCCAAAAAAGGCTGGGACATGATGCATGCTGGGATTTTTGATTCCGACATCTTTTTAATGATCGAACCCAACATGAGCCAACCAACGAATGATTTTACTGTTTGGCAGGAAAGACGAAGTCGCAGGAGTCACTGAATCCTGAGGAGACCCCAGCTTCTCAGGAGGTCTCAGCTTCTCAGGAGGCACCAGCTTCTCAGGAGGCACCGGCAAGCACAGGAGGTGACCCGCTTCTTGGGTTTTCACTTACCAAGGAAAATTTAGAAGAAGAGGCAGAGGCCTTGGAGAGCCAAAAGAATGTGGGTGCAGTAGCTCAGGATTCACAGCTTGTTGAGTCGCAAGCGGATCGGGAAGAACCAAGTGCTCCTTCGGGAGTTGAAAGCCCAATGCCACTTGAAAGTAGCCAGCAGCCTGGGACTTCTGCTGTTGTTGATATTTGCACACCAGAGACAAGTTTAGACCCAGCCTCACCTCCACCACCTGCTTTGGAAGACAGTCAAACACCTCCCCACTGGACTAGCGACCAGAAGTTCGAGCAATACCTCAAAGGCCCACCTGTGCCTGTTGAAACACCTCAGCCCGCAACTCCCGGGGAAGAGGAACTGAAAAAAATGGAACACCAGGAGGAGGATCATGATACCCGATCAGATGAAGAGGAACTGAAGAGAAGGCAAGCTTTTAAGGCAAGCTTGGTCAAAATTTGTTTCAAAACTTTCGATATGTTTGTAGACCACATGCACATATATCAGTTTAAACTTAAATGCATGAATAAAAAATGATAAGATAAAAAAATACATCTCATGAATGCAGGATCGAAGTCCTTTGTTTGAAGTTCCAGAGTTGCCGGACCTGATGGAAGAGTACTTGGAAAAATTCCCAGAGATGAAAGATTTCAAGAAAGACAAAGACCAAAAGGTGGTTTCCAATTTGGTCCTTCAGGCCAGATAATGTTCCACCTCTTCTGTTGTATTTTTGAAGCTTGCCGCTAATCAGATTTAAGCACTTCTCGCAGTCCATGATTGGGGCAGCCTGCCGCTCTGCCAGTTGCAGAAAGATGCCCGCAGAGACGTCAACGCTGAGAAGAGAGAGGCACAGGGAGAGTTGGACCAGAAACGGCAGAAAAAAGAAAAGGCAGCCCAGGGAAGGGGAAAGGGTCGTGGGCGTGGGCGGGGAGGAAGAGGCCGAAAGAGTCAGGAAGAAACCCCTGAAGTTGAGGAGAACGTTCCAGGGAAATACGCAGATGAAGCTGTTGCTGCATCAACTGAGCAAGGGATGCAAAGACTTCGTTCCCAACGAGAGCTGGAGGCAGGGTGCACATATGGTCCAGCAAAGTTATTAATTAATGCACTTGCAAACATCAAAATTCGATCGTGGGAGGCTGATGGAGGGGACGACGAAGGAGATGGTTCTGCAGCTGATGAGGTTCCAAAGGCCAGCCCTATGCAGTTCAATGAAATTGCTCATTCGTGACAGTGAGTACATATTTGTTATCAAAGCTACCATACATGGGACTTGGACACCTTTTGATCGATCGTCCTTCTTCCTGTTCCTCTGACCTGCGTCTGATAAGTCCTTTTTAAATTAATTTCAACCTCAATCTGTAAATACAATCAGATCAGGAATTGCTCGGTGACATGGTTTTCACCCGTTACGTCGCATATTTGTAGGAGCCCGTTCGCCGAAAAAGGAAACCCAAGGACACAGCGTCACTCACTAGCCCTTTCAAACATTTTTGCAATGTCGGCGATAATTTTGTTCTGCCAGGATGAAAGCCAAAAGGGTTCAACCAAAGAGCCCAAGGCAGGGCCCTTCCACATTATACGACCAAATGACCAGCAAATATGATTATTTTATGCCAGGTTGAGAAAGAGAAGAAACCCAAGGTGGGGATGAGGTACCTAACAAAATAGATATGCATTACGTACTTTTCGGTGCTTGGGCAGGCGACGGAAAAGGAGAAGCCGGGTGAGAAGGCACAGCGTTCACACCTTTTTGGAAAAAGTTCCATGATCTCCATATGCACCTTTTGCAAATGTGCTATATTTTGAAGGCATCTAATTTTGAAACTGGCAGGAAGTGCCTGCGAAGAAGCGTAAACGTAAGGATGCTGGTGAGGAGAGAAAAGCTGTTCAACTGAATGAATACATGTTTTCAAATTCCTCAACAGATTGCATGTTGATCGAGTTCCTTATCCGAATCCCTGCCAGGAGATTGGGGAAGCCCCGAGTGCTGGATCCAAGGAGCTATGCTGCATATGTTCTCTCACACCCAAACTTGACCAAATAAGAGAGAGTCTATCTGTATTCAGGACACACGCAAAGGGAAGCACGAGAGAGAAAAACGTAGATACTTTGAACTGAAAGCAAAAGAGGAAGATGCTAAAAGAGCAGCCGATGAAGCATTGGCGCGTTCAGCCCAGCTTTTCGCTAGATGGAATGCGATTGACCCTGCTGGCCCGCCCAGTGCGGCATGTGTGGACAGCACGACTGCAATGAATTCTTACGTACAGAGATGTCTAAACAGGCGTAGTGATGCATACAACAAAAGGAGGGAACAGCAAAAAAAAGTACTCAAGCTCAAGGAGAAACGGAGTTGGGTTTATTCCATGCTGGTGTTTGCTGCGCACAACACACACATATTAATATATATATATAAAGTATACATGTTGTTCACTTCAAAACTATATATGCATTGAGGAGGAGGAGGAGCGCACGAAGAAACCGGCTGCTCCCAAGGTCCCAGTGGTCGTGTTTGATTTTGAACTTTCACGCATGGGACACAATCTTGCATACGTATGCTGCATTAAAAAAGATTTCCTATCTTGATTGCTGTTGTCTTCACTTCGAAAGTCTTGATTCAGGCTGCTGCTCGGACCTCACGTGCTGGGAAAGCACCATCAAAATTGCCTCAGGATTTTGCTTGCTAGTCTGAGGTTAGATGTTGAGAAATCTTCGCTATGTGTGCACTGCACATGAAAATTTATCTTATAAAATCATTCTTCTGATCGATCAGGAGATCAAAGAAGACCAGCTCATTCGTGTGACTGGCGCTGCCCAGAAGTTTCCCGAGCTGGCTCCCCCTCCGGATATCGATGAGCGAGTGTCAATGCCTCAACCTGAGTTCCTCTTTCTTGATAAGTGATTCAATGAAATTGTGGCCCAGGACATGGACTGTGCACGCCCCAGAGGCAGTCCTCAAGCGGCTCCCAGCCAGGGAGGCAGTCAGCGTCATCGGAGTCATCCTTCGAGGACAATTTTACATCTATGACGTGTGCCGCAAGCGAGTGAAGGAGATGAACAAGAATCTGAAACAAGGGTCAAAACCATTGAATGTAAGAGCCCCAAAATTTGAAACAAGAGCGCTTGCATGCATGCTCAATGCTTACGATGCTTTTTCATTTCTTCGCAATTAGACCCCTTGCACCGGCCCAGGTGGATGCTAACGGAGGTGTCACCCTGAGTTGGTCAAAGCATGGTATCATTTCAGCGTGGCAAATTGCCCGCCAATTGGCTTGCTGGGACCCCGTGGCTGAGTAGCTTTTTGATGATAGCACACTTGTTGGGCGCAACCTGGGGATTTAAAAGTAAAAGTTCAACCATATCAATTGACCTCCAAATTTGTTTCTCCCAAGGAAAGCCCATGTGTGTGAGCGTGCAAAGCTCTGATTGGAAAGTCCATTCGCAATTCCAGATCAAGATGTGATCGCAAGAACCAGGGAAAACATTTCTGGTTTTTGGCATCAACCTTGTGTTGTTGAATTGAGAGGTCTTGATATTTGAAAAAGTATGCACTTATGCAGTTGGAAGCCAAGTTCCTGCCCACTGAGGGATTTTGTGGCTCATCAAGGGGTGACGGACCAACAGGATCTCATGTCCTGCTCCAAGCTAGCGCCGTCATGGACCACCAAAGGTGTCGCCTTGACAAAGGATGAGGCTTTGCAGCTGAAACAACGGGGGTGCCCAGTTGAAGTGTCGGGGTCTTGGTGGTTAGCGCATCAGTAAAACAATGAGGCATGCACATGATTTATAACTCGTCAAGTCGGCCAATCTTGTGATTTAAGACCGTCGTGAGCTCATTGCCCGTTGTTCGTTTTGAGGTTGCACTGTTTGGACTACATTGCCGAAATTTCTCCACCAACGAAGTCACGCCGTGCTCATTACTCAGCATGCCTGGGATGTGTGTTTTTAATTTTCCATTGTGGGTTCAGAAACCTGATCCAAAATAAGTACTTGGCGGGGATGTTGGTGGGGTCAGTCTTCTGGGGGCGACCCAAAGAAAATTGGCAATGCGTGTCCATGCATGTGCACCCAACAATACACATGCAAGGTTGTAAGGCAAGCCACTTGGCAAACTATCTTGCCTAGGACGTTGCTCTCTTGGACCTCTTTTGTGGTGAGAAGCAAATGACATATGCCTGGGGTCGGGCCCTCACCATTGTTTTGCAACTTGAGCTTTTTAATATATATGAAATATAAAATATATATACAGCAACATTTATCCCAGCCTTGATCGACCTTCTAATGTCCAAATCTCCATCCCAGGCCGCCGCAGCCAAAAGACGTGTGGTCCACAGATTGGCTCATCTGTGGTGAATTTGATCTTTACCGGATACCTGCAGTTCGGGGCAGCAAGATTGGCCCAGGGAAAGCTACGATGTGTCAGAGAACGGGGAGGCCAACAACATCCTACTAACGCAGGGAACCCAAATTGCAAATTTGCCATCTTGACCTGAGTGGACCAAACTTGTGGATGCCAAGAGTTATTTTTCCTTGGGTCTTGGGTATCCAAAAATTTGTGGAGGTGAAAAATAGTTTAAACTTTTTTCTGGTAGATCACCTGCTGAACAGGTCGCACTTATCTTGTTTGGAAGCCCCCTTGATATTGAATAACATTTGACAGGTGATGTCAAAAAATCAGTTCGGTTCTGTCCCTGAGGAAAAACACAAACGATGCAGCTGAGGCAAGGGTACATCAACCTCTTGTCGATCGCCTTGCGCATGGCACCTGATTCACTCTCATCAATCGGGTTGCCATGTCCATCATACATTTGGATGAACAAGGCAACACATTGCCGGTCAAAATTTTCGCCATATGGACGTGAAGACCGTAAATATGTGTTCGAAAGCAACCAGATGCTTTTCATCAACTTGGGGAAGGTTTTAGACCCACTAGTGTGAATTCAATATTTGGTGGGGTGTGGGCATAATTGAAACCACCGTAGGAGCCACCACAAGATGTAGTAAACCCGTCAATAAAACAAACTATAAATTCATATGGGATGATGTAAATGACCTTGCAAATATTGGGTTTGATTAATTTTGGCACTACCAGACTCAGAGCAGTTCCAGAAGGTTTTTGACCACTGGTTTGCATCGGTTTTATCGGTATAAGAATTCGTCGGAATCTGGAATACCGGAAGTGTTCCTTTTGGTTCCCCTGCCATCTAAGGATCACAGTACGAACAATCATTGTCATGATGATTTTGACGCGCAGAGGGTGCTACTTTGTACTGGAGCAACCAGGTTCCAGTCAGGTAGTGCATTTTCCAGAGCTGAAGCTGCTCAAGAAGTTGATGAAGTCATGCGGACTTACCACCTACTTTACCCGGTTGCCCAGGACTCAGATGGGGGTGTCCATACTAGACAAAATTTCAGCATTGTGGTTCTGTGACCGTGCCATAAGAAACTTCATGCTCCCACAGCCCTCAAACCATTTGCCAAGTTGGATGGGCAGCTGGGGCGCAAAGAGCCCAAAGTTGTCAATGGCCATCAGCTCAGCGTTGTGGCCTCAGCTGCGCTGGATAAACACAATTAGTTTTGTCATCAAAATATACAGTTCATCAGTAGCAGATCCCACATTGCTGGATCAGTGGGGGTTTCCTTGCGGACCAGAAAAAATTAAACTTGGTTGGTTTCGCACCATTTTGGGTACCCTGCACGCGCGAACCTAACCAAGAAAAGGTTTAAAGATTTTAAAGCGCTTGCTGAGTTAGTTCGAAGGTTCCTTTTCAAATCCAATAAAATGGGATCATGATGTTTGCAAAGGTGTTATGTCGACCAGCTCCGCAAGAAGCTCACAAAGGCTCAAAGGGCCAAACTTAGTTCCAAAGGGGTGGCCGTTGTGAAGACTTTGCCTGATGGCAAGAAGTCAGTGCCATGAACCCAGACCAACTTGATTTTGTGTCTATACCATTGCATCGCAAACATCTGCAAACATTTTGGGTATTTTTTCGACAAGCCATGCATGTCACTCCGTGACCCAGGCAGGGCGGTCCTAATCTCAAACGGACACAAGTGTATCCCGCTGGTTATGCTGAGAAGATCTACAAACTTCATACCGAACTTCAGGCCGAGCCAGTTTCTGAGATTGTTGGGATACAGTGCGCTTGGACACAGTGGATAATTTTTGGAACCGTTTCTAAACCCTATCCTTTTCCTCTAGCTCTCAGTTCACCCTACCTGAAATGCCCTGTGCAGTGTTCTCTGTCGGAGAAGCTTGCTTGTGTTCCAGGCAAGCAAGCCCATGTACATCAAGGCGTCCCTGAAACTGTCCAAAGCCCGGCGCGGCACCAAGACTGTGAAGAAGGCCAGGGCTCAACACAAGTCTTGGGCGCAGTAGTGGCATTCAGAAAACATCTTAATTATATAATATTCCCCTCAAAAGTTATAAGCTGGATTCCCTAAAAGCCCTGATGCCCGAAACTGGTCCTCCCCTTTGACTTCCCTTGTTCCTGGCAGGTCACCATCAAGAGCTCTTTGGCGATCAGAAATGCTCTGTGGTCCCGTGGAAACCTCGGGCCGCTCATGGAGTTTTTGGCCGAGCGCCGGTCCAAGGGATTTTACCATCCCATTCGCCGATTTCCCAAGATGTCTTAGAAAAATCGTTCAACATTGTTGAATAAATTCAATACCCTTACGCCAATGGCATGGGGTCAATTGACTTGGGCTGGAAAGTAATGAAATTGAAATGCATGTACATGGAAGTTTTACCCCCGATCTTCTCCAAGCAGCTTTCGTTCCAGAGTCAGCCCCAGTTGGTATTCACTGCAACCTCAGAGCGAGCCAGAGTTTGGGGAAAAAAGCAGTACCTACCAGCCCGCACCAGTACATGTGTTGGAGCGCAGCACTTGATTCCAGACCTGTGTCATTCCAGATGGGATACCCTCAGAAGCATCCTTAAACTTTCACGGGTATTTCACGTTCTGAAAGGTCTTTTTCACGATATCCAGGGTGCTTTTCACGGAAATTCACGTTTGTTCACGGTGGATGTGGGTTACCTACAGTCCAGGGGCCAACCCCCAATGAAAACAAATGGCTGTGTTGATACCCCAGGTCCCAACCGAATCTGATTTGGAGATGAAACAAGATCAAAGCCTTGTATTTCTGGATAAACCCAAATCTTAAAAAAAAAAGTGTAGCGTGAATGAGCGTGAAACCGCCCTCTCAGAGCGTGAAAACCCCTCTCAGAGCGTGAAAGGCCCGTGAAAGAATGCACCTTAACTATGCCCATTTTTGGAATCATAATGTTTTAGCGTTTGATTTAAGATTCCACTTTTTGGGGGGGTCCAAAGCCATTTTGGAGGTTCCAATCAGGGTTTGTCTTGCCGCTGTCAGCATGAGCGAGCGGGCCAAATTGGCTTTGGTCAAAGCCAAGCAGCGCGCTGAAGCCGTGGGCAAGAAAATGGAAGAGCCGCAAACCTAGGAACAGCCGTTGTGACATACTTGGGCTAAATTCAAAGGTGAATGGTGGGCAGTTCCAAGTGTGAAATGCATTCTTTCAAAAAACAAACGAAATATTCCTTCAAAAGGGGTCCAAGATCGAGGAAAGGTCAAAAGTAGATAGCGCACCCTTTGCCAACAGTTCCTTATTATTTGTTTTGCAACAGTTATCGTTAATCATCAGCTTCACATTTGCCTTCTAGGAGCCTGTGCCTGATCAAGTATCTTTCTTTTGAGGTCCAGCAAGGACAAGACGAATGGCAAGGGGCGCGACAAGGCCAATGAAAAAAATGCAACGCCCCCAATGACAACTTCGTCAATTGTTCCTAGCTCTGCGACAGATTCTACCTCGACACTTCAACGAGGACGCACACAAAATACATGTGCACCAGTTTGCATGGTTTCCACACGTGTCGTATATAACATAGCATACATGAGCATATACATATTAGACCAAGCTTGCTGAAAGACATACGCAACACACCTTTGAAAAATGCCCTGGGTTCCAGGACCGGATTCTCAGGAGACACTTCCTGCGACCCCTTTGTCTTTGGAAATTGCCTTCGACCATGCTAAGACCTTCGAAGACCCTGTAGAACCAGTGGCCACACCGGTCAGGAACGCAGAGTTTCATGGCGCACCAGATTCTTGGCAGGCGTGGCATTCCGCTCCGTGCCATGATTGGTCATGGCAGGGCCAGAACCATAGATGGTGGGGTTGGGACAGCCAAGAAAAAAACGAAGGTGAACACATGTACTTTGGCCGTTCGTCGTCTTGGGGCTCAACATCAACGAGTGGCAACTATCACAGGGCGACCACTGCCGATCAGCTGCATGCTGATGCGACTTACCACCTGCAAGCTGCTCTCGCTGCCATTGAAGACGGCCCACAAAAGCATCTCTTGTCACAAATCTTGCAAAGCCAGGCTGGCCAAGCAAAGCCACCAGCCGCAACACCTACAACAAAAGCAACTGAACCGAACACAGCACCTGCAACAGAGGCAATGGAACCACCAGCCGGTGCAAATGGCAATGGAGCAGCGGCGGCAGCCAAGGCACCTGAACAGAACACAGCACCTGCAGATGCAAAGCAGTCAACACCAGCACCTGCACCTGCAACAGAGGCAGGGGCACCACCAGGAGGTCCAAATGGCACAGCAGCCCCTGAAGCTGAGCACGGAGCAGCAGCTGCAGCCAAAGAGCTTGAACAGAACACAGCACCTGGGGATGCAAAGCAGTCAACACAAGCACTTGCACCTGCAACAGATGCGATGGCACCACCAGCCTGTGCAAATGGCACAGCAGCAATTGAAGCTGAGCAGGGAGCAGCAGCTGCAGCCAAAGAGCCTGAAAAGAACACAGCACCTACAGATGCAAAGCAGTCAACACCAGCACCTGCACCTGCAACAGAGGCACTGGCAGCGCCAGCCGAAGCTGAGCAGGAAGCAGCAGCAGGCAAAGCACTTGAACAGAACACAGCACCTGGGGATGCAAAGCAGCCAGCACCAGCACCCGCACCTGCAACACAGGCACTGGCAGCACCAGCAGGTGCAAATGGCACAGCAGCACCCGAAGCTGAGCAGGGAGCAGCAGCCAAAGCACTTAAACAGAACACAGCACTTGGGGATGCAAAGCCGCTAACACCAGCACCCGCACCTGCAACACAGGCATTGGCAGCACCAGCCAATGCAAATGGCAAAGCAGCATCCGAAGCTGAGCAGGAAGCAGCAGCAGCAGCCAAAGCACTTGAACAGAACACAGCACCTGCCGATGCAAAGCAGCCAACACCAGGGCCCGCACGTGCAACACAGGCACTGGCAGCACCAGCCAATGCAAATGGTAAAGCAGCACCCGAAGCCGAGCAGGAAACAGCAGCCAAAGCGCTTGAACAGAACACAGCACCTGCCGATGCAAAGCAGCCAACACCAGGGCCCGCACCTGCAACACAGGCATTGGCAGCACCAGCCAATGCAAATGGCAAAGCAGCATCCGAAGCTGAGCAGGAAGCAGCAGCCAAAGCACTTGAACAGAACACAGCACCCGGGGATGCAAAGCAGCCAGCACCTGCACCTTCAACGGCATGTGCAAAGCGCAAAGCAGCTGAGCAGGAAGCAGGGGTAGCAGCAGACAAAGCGCTTCAACAGAACACAACACCTAGGGAAGGAAAGCCAGCGGCAGAAGCAGAAGGAGGAAGTTTAGAGCCGGCAGCCAAAGCCCCCAAGGTGTCAACACCTGTTGAAAGCCAGCAGCAGCCACAAACCAATGGTATACTCCGGGGAGGAGCCGATGAAGCCGAAGTAGCAGAAGCAGATGAGACCATGCGCAAGAAAGATAAGAAATCTGATGAAGCACGAAAAGCTGCGCATGCCAAGTATATGCGCTATTTCAGAAGCTTAACAAGTATTCTCCTCAAAGTTTGCTACTCTGTGTGTGTGTGCGTGTTCTATTGCAAGCTGCATGCATGCATGTTGGCTGCCATGCTCTTGCGGTTTGTTGTGCAAGTGTTCGACCTTCTTTGACTTTATTTTCCAAACAAGGCAAAAATTCACCGGTGGAAATCCGCCGCATGGGGGGCCAAGGCAATCGGCCGAATCTCGTCTTCATTTAACAGTGGCTCAATAGTTTGAATTCTATTCATCCATGAAACTTTTCAAACCGAGTCATGGCCCAGGAAAAGACCTCATGAGCACTTTGTATGAAAGCTGGACCGAATCTGGAGGGGATTGGACGAAGTCGAAAATATACTTACAAGTCAAACAAAGCGAGCGATTCAAACGAGTAGGGGTCAGGGAATGGATGACAAGAGCTGAGATGAACGTTCGCTTTGGGCCCGAAGGTGCGGCCGCAATCATAGACCGTAAACTCTCGGACAAGGACTTGGCCAAAACAGAAACCCGTCGACACCCGGAAGCTCCTGACTGCGACAGCTTGGTGCAATTCTTGTGCCTGAACCAGGAGAAAGAGACTGATTCGACGGAAACAACTGTGAACACTCTCTACGAGGCTGCTGAGGCTGAGAGCTCCAGCTCAGACTCCAGCAACAATGACTCGAACTCCAGCGATACAGAGTCCAGTGAAGTTGAAAAGAAAAAAAAGAAGAAGGGAAAGAACGCAAAGGAGAAGAAGACAAAGAAAACTTCTCGCAAGACCGGGAAAGAGACAAAAGCGAAGGTCCTTTTTGGAAGGGGGAGACATGAAGGGGGTACCATGCATGTGCCTGGCTAGTGTCAGCCCCCGACAACGCGTGATACACAAAGATATATGATTGCAAAAACCCTGCATGTGTGTGTGTATGAGTGCTATATCGTAGGGGATTCCCTTTTCATTGAACGGTTTTGCCATGTCCAAAACGCTCCAACTCGTTCATCCTTGGTGCTCCTTCCAATCACAGGCCAAAGCCAAAGGCGCTGCAAAGAAAAAGGACAAGAAGCAAAAAAAAGAAAGGAAGCAGGCCAAGGAAGATGATGAGGACCTAGCATCTGAGGAGGCTGAGAAAGCCAAAATCAAAGCGGAACAGCAAGAGGCAATGAAGAGAGCAAAGAAGGCCCTCATGTGACCTGATCCCCATCAAGGATCTTGACAAGTGACAAAGTACTCGAAGTTCTCGGGCATTGCAACCACCAGTGCCGGCCATATGCATTCATTTCCTCGCTGCGTGAAATGGGTAAATAAACTACTGTACTATACTTTCAATCAACTAGTAGATCAAGAAGAGAGCTTGTGGACTTACAAAATCTGATCCGTTTGGGCTCTCAATCCCTTGCTTGGAGGTGATGGCAAACGCCAGCAAAAAGATCCAAGAGAAGCAGACCCACTTGGAAAAGGCAGCAGATCTGCCACAATCTCAATTCCTTTGAGTCTCCCAAATTTCATCATTTTGCGAGACTGTGGAAAGACGAAATCCTGCACAAGCTGCATCAAGTGGTAATTAAAATCAAATAATGCCAGGGATATATGCTTATTTTATTATATGATATGGTGCATCCTTTTGTCCATCCACAATATCAACGAAAATATGTCAGGCAGAGCCACGCCCGAACCCCCAAATCAGGTCGCCAAATCTTCGAGATGCTGTGCTGTCTGATATCAAGGCAAGTTCGCCAGCCAGCGATGCAGAATGCTTTGCAGCTTCTCAATCCTGGGAGGCCGCGGTGGCTTCTGTTCAGGGAGTTCGGGATGAGCTGCTTCAGGCTTTGGATGCCAAGAAGGTCTGAAGTGGCTGTTGGGTTTGAAATTATGGCAGCATACGGCCCATGGCTTTTGAATATCATTTTTTGGTTGGCTTTGCACTGTACTATCTTGGCCAAATTGCAGTGTCAAAATGAATGTAGACCATATAGCATAGGTATCGAAAATTGGACACGATGGCACTTCTGGTTCCTACCTGTAGCACTAGCTATCAGCTACCGATCACAGGAATTTTCATTCTGAGGTTTCTACAACTGCCCTAGGCCTAGTTGATTCACATACCTTTGCAGGACGCTACGCATTTGGAGACGCTGACTACCCAGCTGACCCAGGAATTGGACAATTTTGACGTAGCTGTGCAGCCCTGCAAAGGCAAGGCGAAGAAATCAAAGGCGGCATAATCATCAATTGCTTTTATTTGAAATCAAATGAGCCATGTCAGCATTGGCCGCTACATGTTGGAATAGAAGTCCAGTTGCTCGATCGATTTGCCTGTGGGCTTTATGGGGAAAATGGGGAAAATGTATTCATCGACATTTCAAAAATATTTTGTTTGGGGATGGACATGAAATCAGTTCTATCAATACCCCATGCTCATGTTGCCACAGGTCAGGAACGTTCCTGATTATTTTCGTTCATCTTAACCCGGTGTGATCCGGTGTGTGCGACAGGGATGACACTGAAACTGGCTCGGCCCTAGATTGTTTGAGGGGGTCATCCCGGGACCTATTTGCGGAATCCACTCCTGGGGCCTAGGAAACATTGCTGATTCAATCTGGTAATAATATTTCTTCAGGAATGTCTTAGAAATCTCGAAACAGAAAATTCCAGGGAGAGAAAGCAATTAATGGGTCCATGAGAGATGCTGGGATCTACAAACGATACCTGGTCGACTAGCCAGTGGCATTAACCTTGCCAGCCCATCGGTACCCTGCAGCCTAGAGTCCTTCCGCTGAAAACCCATGCCAGTGCAGATTCCATCCGGCCATGCGCAGGTGGCATCAGGGAAATGTGGAAACTAAAAATTGCCATCCCCAAATAAGATTTATACCCCTATTTGGGATGATGTAAAAGTGTCTCCACATATCATGCCACATATCCCCATAGGTGACTCATAACGATACTTGATATATGATATCAATATTGATATCATTATTTGTTGTGGGGGTTACCATCGATCGTTTTTTTTAAACTATTATGCGGGGTATACTAAATTAAAATATAAGGGTGCGACCCGTTTTTTTGGGGAACTCTGCCAGACCCTGAAGCGACCAAAATAGGATTAACTGGTGTATATGTGCCCGATCTAGCCCATTTCAAGATTTCAGTTGTTGGGGTTACAGAACCAACTTTCAAAATTCATTCATGGTCCTTCCATCAATAAAGATACTACTCCATCTTGATCCACAATGCTTCATAACCCACATCCTGGCCCCAAATCACGTGAGAAGATAAAATACATTGAAGAGAATCTTGCATATATAACATATATTAAATATAGTTTAATTGTAGTATTATAATATATATGACATATATGATATGATATTCCTTCCTGGTACTTCTGGTGTTTTTTCTTCGGTGAGAGGTCCATTTGTGGTTTGCGTGTTTACCATGTTTCCCGTATAGCACACTAACGGTTGTGGTTTCCTACATGCGCGCATGCCTCAACCTTGGTACTAGTGCCGCCCTCGCAGGTGGCTCATCGAGCGATGAAGAGCAAAACTGCAGCATCCGCGATGCTCAAGCAAAAGTTGCTGACCAGGCGACATAATTATTGTGGTTCTCTTGGTTTCTTGCTATCTCAGTGTCGGTGGGACATTGTAATTTAGAGAATACGCCATGCATTGCATACATTATTAAGAGAAACAGTTCCCTTGCTGAACGCTGTCCTGCAGGCTGCAAGTGTGGCTTCGGTTATGACATCTTTGGCTGCTAACGCCAAGGACAATGGAACACACAGCACATGAACCTCAAAGAGTCAAGTCTGTATTCTTGAGATTCTCAATTTTTGGAAAAAGATGTTTTTGAAGAAAGACTATGCTAGTTGCCGACAGGACAAATCCCATGCAAAAGGGGTACAAAACCTCGGGCGCCCTTCCAGAAAGCAGAATCTGCAGCGAGATTTCTGGAGGTACTGCAAGCTGCCACTGGAGCAACCTCTGAATTTGGGAATTGTTTTTTATTTGACTTTTTGTTGAATCTCTCTCTCTCTCTCCATCGCCCTCGTTTTTTATCTGTTCCGTCAAATGTTCTTTGCGCATGTTGATCTTGTCCAACAGCTTGTTGATTCCGCTCATTGTTGGGGCGAAGAAATTTCGGTTGACAAATTCTTGCTCGCAAGGAGCCTCACTACATCGAAGTTCCTGTGCTAGATTTGAACCAAGATGAGAATGTCACCCTTGCCCGTCTACCAATGCTTGATGTCCAAGACGTTCTGGCTTATGTGCATGACACTGTCGGGCTACGCTCACCGAATGAGCATGTTGAGATGTATTGGTCATGGGGCAAAAGAAATGGGGCTGGCTGGTCGCGATTAGGAGGAAGCGGAGTTGTACCTGTGGGCTTGTATGCTGACGAAACAAAGTATGGAGGCCCATTTAGTGATGAGAAAGTATTAGGCGTATTCATCAACCTTGTATTGCATCGTCCAGCAAGCATCCGCTACAGTCGCTTTTGCATTTTTGCATGCCGATCGGCATTGATTCTGGGAAATAGAACCTTATATCCGATCTTCCATCGCATTGTTTGGGGGTTCCATTTGGCTTTCAAAGGATTGCGGGCTGATGGAGAACTTTTGTGCAAAGACGGTACAAAATTTTTGTGCACTGAGCTGCGGGGTGACCTTGCTTGGCACAAGTGCATTTGGGGGTTTGAAAAAAAGGGTTGGCAGGCCAAAGATGTTTGCTGGTTCTGCGATGCGAAAAATCAAGGAAACGCGTGTCTCTATACAGAGATTGGAGAAAATGCTGACTGGGTTGAAACGATCGTCGAGAACACCTGGGAGTGGGCAAACAACACACTGCCTCAACACAACTTGTGCCCTCTTCTGGCACTTCCAGGATTTCATGTTCACAATGTACGGCTGTGCTCGATGCACAATGTAAATCTGGGCTTGCTGCAAGTTTGCAACGGAAGCGCGCTGATTCTTTGGAACAGTTGAGGTTTGTAGCATTTAATTTTGCTGAGTTGCTCTTCCAATAATTTGCCTGGGGGCATTCCGAACAAAACTATTTTTGGGCCCATTTTATTTTCCTTATTTGGGTTGCCCAACGCCCAGGATAGGGCTGATCGAGGCTGGCTTTTACGGGTCTCCAGAGGACAGCTTGAAACTGAATCTGTCCAGGGCGCGTCGTGATTTTGAGATGTGGCGCAAGCAGAACAAGATCCAATGCTCACAGGGTCCATGGGCTCCAGGACTTGTGGCTAGACAGCATAGATATTGTACTGTACAATTTACCAGAAAAAGAACAACCTTTTTGCCGCGCACTGGTGTTAAAGTGTTTTTTGTTTCCGCTTTGTGATCTATGTTCTTGATTTAGGTACTGCAAGAAAGTATCAGGTAAAGAATTGGTCAAGTGATCAGGGGTTATGCCACATATTGTCCCTGGCCTGCTGTGGTAAGGTTGTCAAAAAGAATGGGAATATTTGCATGACTCACAAAGCGTTCAATGGCAGAATCATTGTTGAGTACTTAGCGAATGCTTGCTCACTGGCTTCGTCCCGGACAGTTCCTGGAAATGGCCGCAGTTTGGGGGTTTGGCTTCAAGAGCAGGAGCAGGCAAACAATCCCAGGTGGCCAGATGCACAGGATCCAGAGCTGGGACTTGCTTCCAAATGCTTGCTAATTGGCTGAGTGGTAAAATTTGTGTTTTTTTGCTTTGCGGGTTTTTAGCATTAATAGTGGTGAACCGCATGGTTCATTATCCACCTGCTTAGAACCCTGGCCAAGGACATCCATGGCCAGATGGCTGAACTTGGTGGAAAGAAATGGCAGGTACTTGTATCTTGGCTTTTGGGTAGGGTTTTCTGTTCCAAGGCCTAGTATAGTATCTCTACTTGTTCCAGGGTTGGGTTGTTCAAGTAACTTGCCCGTCAAGTTTTGTCACCTCTCTGCAATTGCTGAATTCAAGGTCTACAATCGCGGCAAATGAGATGTATGCAGCTGGTTTGCAATTTTGCAAATTCCACCTTTTGCTGACTACGCTCTCCATGAGGACTGGGTTTGAGATGCATGAAAATTTCAATGTTAGGGATGTTTTTTGGTTTGAAGATTTGCCCAAGATAGATTGAAACCCAAAAAGCCTGGGGGAAAACAACCTGCACGCATGTACACTGATTCCATATTAACACGATGTTGTTCGGGTCGGGGTTGAATCATTTTGCAATGGTCGGGTGATTTTTGGTTGGTACCCCCAGGAGGTTACAAGCAGGACATCCTTCGCCGTTGAAGCATCGAGTCGTGAAATGGATTTGCAAGCCCAAATTTCATTATTTTTGTCATCAATTGTTGGGCATCAAAAGATTCAAAGAAAACGTGCGTCACACGCACTGTTTCACTGATGAGGACGCAATGCGTTGGTTAAAGAATATTAGCAGAAAGGTTTCAAACAGATCACAGTTTGAAAGGACGCTGATGAAAGTGTCAAGGCTGCGTTTGGCTTTGACGCGTCGCAAAGCGAAAATTCAAAACAGAACCGCTTCTAGGCGAAGCCGGCGGTGATTGGTCATGATTTCGCTTGGGTTTGATCAGAAAAGATGGGAGTGTGGCGTTAGGGTTTTGTTTTTGTATATATTTTGTTAGCCATTACGCTGTTGGCAAAACCTTCATGATTTACCTATGAGGGCTGTTAGCAGAACGGCCCTTCCCAGCATGGCTTTTAGCTAACCGCTCTGCTAGCGGTGGCTGTTGGAAGTACCAGGTTTCCCTAGATCTAGTATATTACATGGTTGGGATTGCATAGGTGTATATATATATATATATGATGAAGCTCAAAGCTACCTTGCTGGCTCACTGCCTCCTTGCTAGCTCAAAGCTCAAAGCTACCTTGCTGGCTCAGTGCCACGTAGCTGGCTCAGTGCCCCGTAGCTGGCTCAATGCCACGTAGCTGGCTCAGCGCCTCGTAGCTGGCTCAGCGCCACGTAGCTGGCTCAATTTTTTTAGCGAAAAAAAAAAGAAAAAAAAACCTCGCAGAAATTGAGCCGGCTACATGCCCTTGAGCCGGCTCGCCAATGCGTCATGAACCCGGCCAATACATAGCTAGTATTCGTTTTGATGCTCTCACATTCGTCCGCCAACTCAACGTGACGTAGCTGGCTCAATTTCTGCGAGTTTTTTTTTTTTCGCTAAAAAAATTGAGCCAGCTCGATGCCATTGAGCTAGCTCGATGCCCCTGAGCCAGCTACGTGGCATTGAGCGAGCTCGATGGTGCTGAGCCAGCTCGTTGCAGTTGAGCGAGCTCGCAGAAACTGCCCAATCTGTTAAATTGCATTAAATTGCCAGGTTCAATCCCCACTGATTACTTTAGTACTAGATATGGTACCTCTGAAAAAGCCCAAGGTGACTGTCAAAACATACCCCTGATGAAATTGAACCAGCTACATGTTTTGAGCTAGATCGAAAAAATGGAAGATTGGGAATTCCAACATCATAATTAAATATGCTATGATTGTTACAGGATGGACCCCCCCAGTGATGTTTGTTGGTTATTTATAAACCCCAGTAACTATAGCTATCTATAGTTATATCATGTGATATCTACCATAAAACCATAGAATAACCACTATAGTTGATTTATAAACCACTATAACCCCCATAATTTATAGTTATATCTACCATAAAACCATCGAATTCAGCAACTTTTTTCCACCAACTTACTCAAACAAAATCTGATTTTTTGTGGTCCTGGAAGGTGTTTGCTTCAAATAAATCCTGCAGATGGGCTTTTCAACCCGTTTATTCCTGCAAAATCACCAGTTGGTAGATGGTTTATCATGGTTTATCCCGTTTTTACCATTAACAGTGTTTCAAAGTGTCCAAGAGTCCAATAGTTAACAACTGATGCAGGATTTCGCAACCATCCACAGAAAAAAAATATAACATTTGCTATGTTTGATTAGATTTTATAGGTATCCCCCCATGTTCAGACAAGTTTCATGGCACGTTTCATGGGCAACAGTTTTCAGTCACCATGTGGCTTTGTCTGAAAATATGCTACCCCATTCCATCCTCATTTTTTTTACCTCATTTTCAGGTCCAGACCCAACAACAGTATCAAATTATTGCTGATGCCCTCTGGTAAACATACAAAAAACTATGGAAATAACAATTTTTAATGGGTAAATCCACGATTTCTATGGCCATTTTCAATAGCAAACTGCTAGTTTACCAGAGGGTAGTTCCCATTCTGTTCCCCTTATTTCCCACCACTTAGAGATGGAAAGAAACCATCCCATGAGAGGCAACAAAAAAACTCGGTGACTACCAATACATCAATACATCCATCAATAGATAGATTATATATATATATATGTATATATACATATGTATATATATATATATTATAGGTATAGTTAACCCATCACATATATGTATATTATATGTATATATAAATATTATACTATAGGTATATTATAATCCATTAGCCATATTATACATCACTACCAATACATAATACATCATAATACATCTATATCATCATTATAAGAATCCATGAACTCCTGCCCTATTTTTAATTACCCTCCCGTGGCTGTCATGTTTATGGTGACGGCGCCTATAAGAGGCCGTGCGCGTATGTCATTTTTTCTGTCTCTTCATTTACGGTTCGTTGGGGGGTGGGGTGGGGGGGTGGGGTGGGGGATGTTAACGCTCATGGGACTTGCACACTTACGTGATGCTACGCTACTGCACGTTGTCTTCAAGTTATACAACTACGTGATGCTACGCTACTGCACGTTCTCTTCAAGTTATACAACTACGTGATGCTACGCTACTGCACGTTGTCTTCAAGTTATACAACTACGTGATGCTACTCTACTGCACGTTCTCTTCAAGTTATACAACTACGTGATGCTACGCTACTGCACGTTCTCTTCAAGTTATACAACTACGTGATGCTACGCTACTGCACGTTGTCTTCAAGTTATACAACTACGTGATGCTACGCTACTGCACGTTCTCTTCAAGTTATACAACTACGTGATGCCACGCTACTGCACGTTGTCTTCAAGTTATACAACTACGTGATGCTACGCTACTGCACGTTCTCTTCAAGTTATACAACTACGTGATGCTACGCTACTGCACGTTCTCTTCAAGTTATACAACTACGTGATGCTGGGGAATGTTAACGTTCATGGGACTTGCAGACTTACGTGATGCTACGCTACCGCACGTTCTCTTCAAGTTATACAACTACGTGATGCTACGCTACTGCACGTTCTCTTCAAGTTATACAACTACGTGATGCTGGGGGATGTTAACGTTCATGGGACTTGCACACTTACGTGATGCTACGCTACTGCACGTTCTCTTCAAGTTATACAACTACGTGATGCTACGCTACTGCACGTTGTCTTCAAGTTATACAACTACGTGATGCTACGCTACAGGTGTGAAAAAGGCGGGCACTCAGCAGTGTGACAGAATCTGGCACCATGTCAAAAAGGCAATCCCAAAGACTGTGACCAGCCGAGCAGTTGATGGACATGTGAACGATCAAATTTTCTGGTCGTATGTTTATGCTTGGCTGTGGCGCAGACAATGCAAAAAGTCATTGTGGCAAGCTTTGGCAGAAGAGTGCCGAAAAAAAAGCACTTGAAACTTCAGGCGCGCCGGCAAAGAGTTAAAAAAGTGATGAAAATGCTGCGAAGGGTTCCAAAAACGCATGTCCTCGGTCAGCCTTACAGTGTTTTATGCTCTAGATTCATGATGGACTTCGATCAGAATGTGCAAAAACCTTGGGTTTTTGAAGCAATTGATTTCATCGGTGCAAATGCAATGAGCATAAACACACGGCCTCTTACAGGCGCCATCACCATGTTTATGCCACCAATTTATGATGATTTTGGGGATGGTGGATCGTGTTGCTTTCCTAACATGGTTCTATATATCCTATAGCTGACATAATTCTTTATATATGTATAATACATATATATATATATCCATATACATTCTATAGATATAGATTGTCAATATGATATAGAATAGTGTTATAGAAATATGATATTCAATATGCATCATTATGTTAGATATATTATATTCAAAAAAACATGTCAATTCATATCACATGTTCTTCTTCTATAGATGATTCCTATAGATAATCTGTGAGCAATGTTCAAAATCCCTCTATCATTCCATTTAATCCTGGTTGGTTAAGAACGTGATTCCCCGTTCTTGGATGATTAAACGAAAACATATAAAGGGTAGTATAATCCCTGAACTAATCATCAAGCAACCATCATTTTAAAGATATATCCACTCATATCTCCAAAGTTTCATGGTGTTTTAAACCTCTATCAAATG